GCAAGCAAGGAAAAAAAAAATAAAGCAAGGTTATAGTATGAGGGTTTTTAATACAACTTTTTTGCTTAATTCCGGCTTCATATTGCAAACTATTGCTTTTTTTTCTCCATTATATTGTAAAAATTTTAAATGATCAAATAAATGGACCAATCTTTCTCCCCCCCTCTCTCTTTCTTTTCTTTATAACATATTCATTTTATCTAAAATATGAAGTGTTACATGTAAGTGCTAACATACCCCAATTGTCCATAGCTGTAAGAGAAAGACCCCACGAGGACGTTGAGCCTGTCAGAGTGCTCAGTGTTTTCAACTAACGTAGGAGCAGCAAATGGAGCAACTGCAAGAGAAAAATAACCAAAAATAAATTGTACGAATGTTTTAAATTTTTTTTTGCTAATTTTCAGAAAATTACAAATAAATTTTAATCACAAAAATATTGAGTTTCATGGAGACAAAAATAGCTTTTTTGATAGTAACTTTCATGGAGTTTTATATAGCACATTAAATACATTTGTATACTGTATCCACAATTTCCACAATTTTTTTGATTGATACAAAAGCAAATCTTCATTGTACATCATGTACATGTAGCATTGTAGCAAAAAAGATATCAAAATCACAAATACATATAATACTAATCATTGTATTATCATTACCTCCAGCATAAGTCGAATTAGTGATTTCTGCTTCATTTCCAAAGCCAGCTGATGTCTGGGCTTTTATCTTAAAAGTATATGTCACATCTCCAGTCAATCCTGATACTCTAATAGATCTTATGTCAGGTAATATACTTCTTATAGAATCTCCCCTACCACCTCTTTCCCAATCAATCTACAAAAAGAAAGGGAGGGAGAGAGAGATAGGGGAGGGAGGGAGGGAGGGAGGGAGGGAGAGAGAGAGAGAGAGAGAGAGAGAGAGAGAGAGAGAGAGAGAGAGAGAGAGAGAGAGAGAGAGAGAGAGAGAGAGAGAGAGAGAGTGAGAGAGAGAGGGGGAGATAGAGAGAGAGAGAGAAATGATTAAATACATGTACACAAAAGTCTTTATTAACTCTCTACATGTACACATAAATCCCAATGAAACAGTAATTAATTAAAGGCAATACAAAGCTAGTAGGGTTACGGTAGTAGTATATTATGTACTTTACCTGATACAAGTTTATGATGCCATTTTGTGGCTCTGGAGGGTCCCACGCCAACTGGACGTACGTAAAGTTGATCTCAGTGAACCGGAAATTAGTGGGAGCAGTAGGGGCTGGAGAAAAAAAGGTAGAGAGTTTTTCACAATTTAGTTGTCAGTATTTTAAATATTGTAAAATGTGATATACTGATACTACAATTTAGCACTACATTTTTATGCCAGTATTCTAGATGCAGTGTTACTAATGGGAGGAAAAGTGGCACAAACTTTTACGACATTAACCAATTAAAAACATGTACATGTATGAGAACGTAATTGAGAAGAAATTCCTAGTTGACATGACGTTTGTGGGAAAAATTGTTTGATTACTTAATGCATGTACATGTATGTACAAAAATACATGCATATAAAAAATACAGGTACATGTACAAAATGTCAATAATAATACATGTACATGTAACGCTAACTGGATTCAGGTGAGTCCACGCTAGTTGGTCTAGTAATGGGGACTTCTCTCTCCAGCCCATCAACCAGGAGAGCAGCATTAACTCCAATGGAGTAAGACATGAATGGCTTAATGTCAGTAAAATCAAACTGGCTCTCTGCATTACTAACATTATACTCTAGAGTGGTCATGACTGGATTTGTCTGACGGCGTCTTCTGGAGCCTCTACTGGCGGCAAGGTCAGTGACATTGACACGCACGATGTAACGTTGTAAGAATTCAGAACCGTCTTCGGGGGAAAGAGGCTCCCATTTTACTTGGATGGACGGGTTAATCGTGTTGTTGATGTTCGATGAGCTAAGGTTAGTTGAAACTTCAGGAAGATTATCTATATGTAAGGAGTGAGGGAATCATTATTAAAAGCATGATGAATTTAGAATTAAAGTTAATATTTGGGAGTTTAAATTTTGCATTTTTTACATTTAAATCGCAAAATTAAACGTTATATGCAAAAATTCTATGTTATAGTAATTTTTAATTTATAAAAAATCCAATATACATTACACAATACTTCTTACCTGCAGGTTTAGTCTTTGCAGTGATACTAACAGTATTCCCTTTAAAACCTTGAGGCTCACTATACTCCACATTAATATTAATAATGTACTCAGTATTAGGGACCAAAGACTCTATTGTGTGATTCAACGAGTTGCTACTGACAGATACAGGGGTATCTCTTCCATTAACTCTGTAATTAAGTACATATTGGCCTATCTCAGCTGGTCTCCGCCCAGTTGGTCTAAAGAGAGGAGGGAGTTCCCACAATATTTGTATCTGAGTAGAAGTGATGAATATTGATGGAGTACGGACACGAAGCAAAGTAGCATTA